TAGCCAGCTCCCCTCGCTGCTGGCCCCCGACCTCCCGCACACGCCAGCTCCCCTGCGCCGCTCCGGCGCAACGCCGAGGGCTGCAAGCCCTTAGAGCCCTTTTCCCAGGGAAGCCGCCCCGAAGGTCGTGAGCCTGAGGTCGGCAGGAGCAGCTTGCGCAGCCGGTGCCCTGCGCTGAAGGGGACACAGGTAGACAGTCGGTAGGATTACGCCAGTGTTTATCACATTATGGGGATACATAAAGGCCACTGAGATCAGGGGGGGCGCGCGCGTTCGGCCTGACACAGAGTAAAGGACAGGGCCTGCCCTGAAGAGCTTAAGCCTAAATCTGAATCAAGAGCTCCCTGCAGGTTCAGGCAGATGAGGGGCAGGCAGTCTCCCCGCTCAGTGTGCGGCGTTTCTCTCAGAGCACAGTGTGGGGGTGCAGGAGGCAATTGCTTGGCCAGGTCAGGCCCCTTCTGCCTTGGCCGGCATCTCCTTGCCTGCCCCAGCAAACCTTGGCCATGGGTGAGAAGGTGTTAATTTGTGTGAGGCTCCTCAGCCCTCGGGGAGCTCCCCGGGGAGGTGATGCCCCCCTCGCTGCCAGGCTCTGGTGCTCTCTCCCTGAAGAAGCCTCATGTGGTGCTGTGACTTTTCCTCCCTCCTCTTCCCCGCCGCCTGCAGAAAGCCCGGTGCCTGTGCCCCACCGAGGACAAAGGGTACGAAACACCCACAGGCTTCTTGCCACATGCAAATGCCAGTTTGGATCCACAAGACGCTAAGAGTTGTCTTGAGGTCATCTTTAGAGATTTGAGCCGATACCCACAACCAGGGCTGGGGCTAACGGGGGCACCCGAAGGTGGGGGCTGGACTTGCTTTTCCAGGTGTGCGTAAAGACTTTGAGCGGAGAGCCCGGGAGTCCACCAAGCTGTCGCAGGAGCTGTCAAAAACCTCGTGAAGAAAGGCGTTACGTGTGTTTTTGTGAAGAATGAAACATCCCAGGCACATTTGCATGTGAATGGGGACGCTGAATTTCATGGCATAACCAAACAGTAATCAGCTGCTGCCTGGTGTCTCTTGGCTTTTCCACCGAAGCCTCTAAGCTTGCCCACTCTCAGAAAAAGGAGGTGGATTAAGGTGTCCTGCAGGCCCTGGGCTGTGTAGCTCCTGCCCAGTGCTCGCCAGCAGCCCCTTGGGGCTAGATGTGCTCCTCCCACCTTCCCCGTGGTGATGGCACTTCTCTGTCCTTGCTTGGCCGCTGCCTGGCTCGCCCGTGCTACAATCCTGACCGCCTCCCTGGCCCCTGAGTCTCTCGGCTGCCCCAAGAGCTTGGCACTCGGTTTGCATAACCAGCAAAGCTTATTCTAAATCCTGCTAAGCCAGGCTGGGTGGTGGCAGGGAGCCGGTGGATGACAGGGAGCTCCAGGGAGCAAAGCCCGCATCCTCCCTGAGTTTTCCACAGGGCAGATGTCAAGTTTGGGGCTGGGGCACATGTGTGCACACACTGCCGTGCTACGAGGAGAAGGGGGAGCGACAGCCAAGCTCCTTGAGCTGCAGCCTTCTGATGCTACACACACAGGGTGATGTTTGCTCCCCCAGACCCTTGGCCCTGCTCTGCTTCAAAGGCCGGGACAGAATTGCTCCTCTTCACACACACAGACTTGTGCGTGTCCCAGCCAAGCAGAAGGGTCTCAGCCATGTGCATGGGCAGGCGTGTGTGTGTGTGTGTGTTCCCTGAGCGCCTGTCTCTCCACGTTGTATTTGACTCTAACTTTGATCCTGGGTTTGTTTTCTAACTGCCTGTGTCCTGCCTCTCCCCACTTCTTCCTGCCCCGCTCCATCCCCCATGCTCCCTCCTTGCAGGTTTTACTGGGACCTCATCATGCTGCTCCTGATGGTGGGGAATTTGATCATCCTGCCTGTGGGCATCACCTTCTTCAAGGATGAGAACACCCCTCCCTGGATCGTTTTCAACGTGCTTTCGGACACTTTCTTCCTGGCTGACCTGGTGCTGAACTTCCGGACAGGCATTGTGGTGGAGGACAACACGGAGATCATCCTTGACCCCCACACCATCAAAATGAAGTACTTGAAGAGCTGGTTCCTGGTCGACTTCATCTCCTCCATCCCAGTTGATTACATCTTCCTCATCGTTGACCTGGAGACCCAGGTGGATTCTGATGTCTACAAGACAGCCCGGGCCTTGCGCATCGTCCGCTTCACCAAGATCCTCAGCCTGCTGCGCCTGCTGCGCCTCTCGCGCCTCATCCGCTATATCCACCAGTGGGAGGAGGTGAGAACTCCTTGGGGGTGCAAGGGCCCCGGTCAGGGTCTCGGCTAGGTCAGGGATTGCTGGCTGTGGGGTACAGCTGGATGGAGGGCAGGGGTTCAGAGGGCTGTTCTGGAAGAAGAGTTTCTCTGTAGCTCCACTCCCACCTCTTCCCCAGATCTTCCATATGACATACGACCTGGCCAGTGCTGTGGTGAGGATCTTCAACCTCATCGGCATGATGCTGCTGCTGTGTCACTGGGATGGCTGCCTCCAGTTCCTAGTGCCCATGCTGCAAGACTTCCCCGAGGACTGCTGGGTCTCCATCAACCGCATGGTGGTGAGTGCCCCGGGCAGCGGCAATACCGGCCGTGCATCTACCCGGGAGGGGGAGGAGAGGATTGGGTTACACGTCTTGTACTCTAAGGCTGGAGCTGCCTGGATCCGCCTGCTGCGGAGCAGCTTCTCTCTGGTCACGGCCCCGCAACAGCAGTGAGATGGGGTAGAGGGAATCTCCGCATCACCTTCCCATCTCAGCCCACCTTGGCTGCTGCTGGAGTCAGGGCAGCTAGGGGAATCCCTCGTGCCCTGCCAGGGGGGGAACGTGGCGGTGGGGCTCCTGTCCCCTCCCCAGAGCAGGGGCTAGTGCGGGCTCAGGGCTTTGCACAGTCCCCAGTGCCTCCTCCCAGAGCAGAGCTCTGCCTTTTGGGCTTGGACACATCAGGAACCTTTTCCTTGCTGGGACTCTGGACTCCCTGGCTCCGAGGAGGGAGGACTGTATGGTTCAGCCCAGCAGCTCCTTCCGACAGGCCCCCCAGCGCTGCTGTTCCCTCATCTGCAGAACGACTCCTGGGGGAAGCAGTACTCGCACGCCCTGTTCAAGGCCATGAGCCACATGCTCTGCATCGGCTACGGCCAGCAGGCGCCCGAGGGCATGACCGACGTCTGGCTCACGATGCTGAGCATGATCGTGGGGGCCACCTGCTACGCCATGTTCATCGGCCATGCCACCGCCCTCATCCAATCGCTGGACTCGTCGCGACGCCAGTACCAGGAGAAGGTCAGCAGTTTGTGGTAGTGAGTGCCTGAGTACTGGGGGAGGATGCCCTGGCACGAGCTGGTTCAGCTCCCAAACCAGCTTGGCGTGGGCTGCCCTGCACGTACCTGCCCTGGGCTCTGCCCTTGCCACTCACCTGGGGGGTGTGGGAGGGGGGTCAGGCTGGATAGAGACACCTCGTTCATGATGTTGGGGTTCACCCTAGCATAGTGAGGCACCATCCTGGCCTCTGCCCTGGGACCCTCTGCATCTTGAGTGCATGGCGGTCCCGTCCTCTGCCCCAGAGGTGGCCTTCGGGACAGGGCCCTGGAGCAGGGGTGCCTGGATCATCCCAGCTCCAGCAGTGGCTGCTTCTCACCGCCAAGGAGAGGGAAAGCGCGGGCCAGCTGTGCCGCTGGCCTCTGGCACGGTGCAGCTTGTTTCAGCAGAGCCCTGTGTGGCTCTGTCTTGTCCCCACAGTACAAGCAAGTGGAGCAGTACATGTCATTCCACAAGCTGCCTGGGGACACGCGCCAGCGGATCCATGAGTACTATGAGCACCGCTACCAGGGCAAGATGTTTGATGAGGACAACATCCTGGGGGAGCTCAGCGAGCCACTCAAAGAGGTACGGGCAGGCACCCCAGCCCTGGTGACTCAGGGGAGGGGAGCCAGTGCTTGCTGGGGTCAGGCTCGGCGATCTCTCTGCTGATCTGCTCCTCACCCCACAGGAGATCATTAACTTCAACTGCCGCAACCTGGTGGCCAACATGCCCCTGTTTGCCAATGCGGACCCCAACTTTGTGACAGCCATGCTGACCAAGCTGCGCTTTGAGGTCTTCCAGCCCGGGGACTTCATCATCCGCGAGGGCACCGTGGGCAAAAAGATGTACTTCATCCAGCACGGGGTGGTCAGCATCCTCACCAAGGGCAACAAGGAGACAAAGCTGTCTGATGGCTCCTACTTTGGAGGTGAGGCTGGGCTGGGGGACCTGGAGAGCAGAGGGGAGCAAGAGCTGCTGGGGGGCAGGAGCTGGGGCATCCCTGATGTTTCTGCCTGCTGTACCCTCTGCCTGTCCCCTCTTGCCTGGTGCCAGAGGCTTGGCATCCACCTCACACGGGGCTCTGGGGCTCAGAGGTCCACCAGCCTTGTTCTTGTGGGGTACCTTGTCCAGCAGAATGAATCAGAGGGACCGGCAATCAGAGCCCTGAATTCTGGCTGGAGAGAAGGGTGCTTTAGAGCAGAGCATCTGAGCCAGTTTGTAGGCTACGAGCACAGGTTTGGGAGAGGTGCCAGAGGCTTGGCATCCACCTCACACGGGGCTCTGGGGCTCAGAGGTCCACCAGCCTTGTTCTTGTGGGGTACCTTGTCCAGCAGAATGAATCAGAGGGACCGGCAATCAGAGCCCTGAATTCTGGCTGGAGAGAAGGGTGCTTTAGAGCAGAGCATCTGAGCCAGTTTGTAGGCTACGAGCACAGGTTTGGGAGAGCAACGGGCCCCGCTCTATTTCTGTGCAGGGTGGGGGAGTGCCAGGCAGTCCCGTCCCTGCTCCCACTGCCGTTATCTGGGGAGGCTGTTGGGAAGGGGAAGGATGGTTGTGTCATCCTGGCACCCAAACCCGTCTCCCTGCAGAAATCTGCCTGCTGACACGGGGCAGGCGGACGGCCTGCGAGCTGACACCTACTGCCGCCTCTACTCCTTGTCGGTGGATAATTTCAATGAGGTGCTGGAGGAGTATCCCATGATGCGCAGGGCCTTCGAGACGGTGGCCATGGACCGGCTGGACCGCATAGGTGAGGAGCGGCCCCTGGGCCCAGCACAGCCACCTCTGCGCCTGCTCCCA